CTCATCCGCAGATATGGCACGCCAACTTGACCACGTGACTGACTTATCGGTACGTTTTGGTACTTGTTATCTCATTTAGCAAACACTTGGAGTGGATATAGAGCCGGAAATAGCGTAGTTTTCAAGTTTACGGTTTGTCAGATACATGGAAGATGAATACACAGAAAATGTAGCAATTCCTTGCACCTGGCGAGACTTAATCCAAAATCTTCTTGTTTTAATCGTCTTCGTACAGTGAGGCATACAGTGCTTCATGCACACCGGAAAGGAAGCAATTCAGTTGTGTTAGTTCGTATAACCCAAATTCAGTAATAATGTAAACAAAGGTGAAATCCGACAGTTTCTCATCTACTCAGAAATTTACCTGCAAAGGTCCTGTGCCCAAGTTGCCAAACCTATCAACAGAAGAATATTGGTCCAGTGACCTTCTGGCGGATAGATCTTACGCTTTGATATGTTTGTCGGGAAATCGCCAGTATTATTGTTACACGAAACAGATTCGGTGATTTGAGCCCGATGTTCAGACATGGGTATCTGTGGTAATTAAGTTTCGTACGTATATCGGTACAACCCGACAAACTAGAAATCCAGAATTCAGCGAAGAGTGGCAACCAGCACGTATGTATTCGAATTGGCGAATATGTACAGCATATGGAATATTAAAACAAGAGAATAATGAATAGAGCAATGAATAGAGTATCAGACATGTTCATCACAGATTACCATGGAAGAATACCTATTCACTTTATTCTGACGATAAACTTGAAGTAAAAAGCCGAATTTCAAGTAAATCTGAAAGTGCTGCCCCTAGCTAAAAGTCAAAGCTATTTTTGTAAAGTTGGCCGTTGAACGTTTCAAATGAATACTGCATCTGATAAGGCAGGAAATTAAGATGGGGTGGTAGAGTTTTCCCAAATACCACTGCCATAAACGTAGCAAAAGCATTATATCAAAATGATAGTCAATGACTTAGTGTCATGAAACTAGGGTCGGCACCGTGAGCAGAAGAAACTGGGCATAAATTAGAAGCCAGTACATCGTACTGGAGAAATGTGGTAGCTTGACGGATTTTGACGGACTGTCTATACTCAGCCCCAGCATCCTCGTCACATCCACCCTTGTCAAGGCGAGACTACGAACAACCTCTAACCGATTGGTCTTCACTGTGGAGGACATTCTTCAACTCTTGCACAAGATCAACCAATTCTGCGCGTTGGAGCCCGACGAGATCCATCCAAGGATCCTGAAGGAAACGTCCTCCAAACTGGCAAATCATTTACACCTTGTGTTTTGTCAGTCACCTGACGAAGAGATCGTCACGCCAATCTACGAAACTGGTGGCTGACAATCGCTTGACAGCTACAGGTCTATAAGCTTCACTAGCGTGCGATGCAAGGTGATGGAACACATTCTGAAGCGAGCCATCCTAGATCACTTTAATTTCAGCAACCTGATATCTTCAGCTGAACACGGATTTCTCCCAAACATGCTCGTGTTTATGGACAGCTTAGCCCAAGCCAGGCACAAAGGACTCATACCGGATGCCATATTTTTCGACTTCTCAAAAGCATTTGCTAGATTCCCACACGTACCACTGCTCCACAAACTCGAGTCTTACGGGATTCAGGGAAAAATCCTCCGCTGGATCAAGGCGTTCCTATCAGACAGATCATTCCGAGTGGGAATAGGTTCGACCTACTCTTCTCCAGCGCCGTTCTCCATTGGAGTTCCTCATGGCTCCGTCTTGGGACCAGTGCTGTTTCTGATCTACGTCAATGACCTTCAAGACTTTCTTGCAGGTCCGTGTTTACTTTTTGCGGACGACTTGAAATCCTGGAGTTCCAATTTCAGTGCCCTCCAAACGGATGTAGACGCTGCCAAGCAGTGGTCGTTGGACTGGCATCTTCCTCTGAACGATGTGTTTTGGAGGAGACTCAGGAAATGCCTTTGTCATGCATGGTGAAAAGAGACCAGAAAACATCATGAGGATAGACTCCAAAAAGGATTTGGGCATCTGGGTATCCTCAAACTTGTCCTTCTCACTGCACCATGAGGAATCGGCCCAAAAGACATTCGCCATTTTACGGATGATCCGACGTACCTTCCGTATTACTAGCGCGGACTTCCAAACACTCTATGGGGCCCTTGAGTACGGCAACCAAGTTGTCTACTCAGGTCGCACGAAAGACGTCATCCCCATTGAGCTTGTCCAGCAGGCCGCTACGAGAATGGTTGCCGGCCTCAAATCCGTGGACTACGAAACGCGTCTCGCGGTGCTTGATCTCTTTCCTCTGGAGTACCCTCGCCTCCGTGGGGACATAACTCCTACCTAATCCCTGTTTGAACAAAGCTTGACAAACAGGTTTTTCAACGTTGACCCAGCAAACACACGGCGAGGACATAGTGAGATAATTTTCAAGTTCAGAGCAAACACATTCATTAGGCGAAATTTTTTCTCATTTCGGGTAGTGGGTGCGTGGAATGACTTTCCTCCGACGGTTGTCCACGCTCCTTCTAGAACCCAGTTTAAAGCACTATTAGACATTTATTTATGCTAATCCTCGCGCTGGCAAGCATATTGACCCGCGCCGGGGATATAGAGAACAGTGCTACACCCTTTTTTCACTTGTGCCCTTCTGGTGAACGACAGCCGCTGACCGACAAGAACAAAACCGACCCGGGAAACTTGGGCAAAAGCCTCGATCCTGTGTATCAATCTGTGAATCCGTGAATCCGGTGTACGGACAGTCCTCAGAACTGGCGGTTAGGCATACTCAGACATTAAGTGGTCGGAAAGTTTTGTGGGCTTAAAAGCAAAACTACTGAAAGGGCTTTTTGGGAACATCAGAAATTTATCAGGTTCGTGGAGTAGAACGGTACTTTCTTGCGGAAAGAGAGCCAGTATTTTGCCCGATACCAAAGAAAAACATCAGAATGGCGTCAGCGATACGGATGGAAGGCTGCAACTTGGCTGAGAGCAGCTTAGGTGACGAAAGACAACGGAGACAGTGGCATGTTTCGCATGCAAAAATTAACGGTCACTTTATCTCTGGACCGAACTCAAGATAGCTGAGTGTTTGATTGCAAGCCTACCGGGCAAAGTTCCGGTTTTCGAAGCTCACCCATTCATCTCTGCTGTTCCTGGCTACCACTGGGTAATGCGGCAGTAACTCACCTCCGTTCTATCTGAGGACTCCTGGAAGACCGTCAATCTCGGATGTTGAAGAAGGTAGCAGAGTCTCAAATAAGTAAAGCATGGGGCTCTGTAAGAAAATGAGCACCAAGGATATAGGAATTGACAAGAAAAAATTGATATGCATTAAATTTTTCAGGATCTCGCCGTTGTATCAGCACATGCCCAGTGGTTTAAAAGGGAGTTTGCAGTGAAATGAAACGCCGATATCAGTTACCAAATTAGAAAACGTGGAAACATAGACAACCAGTTTTCAGGTGGAAAGAGAGGCAGAATGAACCAGCGACCCCCAGTCCAAGCATTTCAGAGTGCAACTAGGGAGGTAGCTCAGTGGTCAAGGCACTGCAGCTGTTTCCAAAACGTATGCACAACTAAATAGAATACTCTCAAAGACAGCCAGTATGTTATTAACTAGGGCTGATGTGCTGAAGTCACGAGAGGAACGTCTGTAAGCCAATGACACGGTTAGCCGACCAGTTGTAAGTTCTTACTGTGAAGTGACTGGGCGATGTTTTTGATTGTCAGTTTCTTGGCCATATTCTTGTTCTGGGAAAATGCCATCAACGCTGGTTTACGTAACTATTCTACATCGTGAATACCCCATTATAATTGTTTAGAATTACCGAAATATGCGATGTCCAGGAAAAAATGAATTGACCAACTCTAATCTATCTCACATTCGACTGCCTCCAAAAACGAACTTAGGTTACAATAAATAGTTTTACTGCTTGCTTTGGATTGCCGTAAAACGGCTACTCAGGCCATGACGTGCAAGCATAATGTCCTATAAAACACAATTCTGGATTGGTCACAGCCTCATTGGGGTCTCACATTCTGGTCCGGTTCTTCGTGGCTAAATCTGTTGCACGAATTACTTGATACATTATGTCTCTGAGGTGTACCAAGGACTGTTAAAAAATTTTCACAGATCTTTCAGAGGATCAACAGGCCATATATTCAAAACGCGTTCACGTTGTGTCCCCCAAACGGCTGACATAGAATATTTCCCAGGAGCAAGTGAACTAGTAGCCATTGCCAATTGTTCGATCGCTTGATTATAGCCTAAACGCTGTTCAAGTGATTAGCTGTAAAGGAATAAGGTCTGCTTCATTGGTCCTCTAAACATTCTCTTTGTCACAACTCTCATCGCTTCTTTGAAAGTGGCTGGCTTATTCACGGACTTGGTCACACCGTCCGCCTTGACACCTGCCAATTGGGTGATTTGGGTGCAGATAACTCTTAGGTGGGCTTCCGAAATTTCTCAGTGTGAAATGAGAAACAGAGTTTTTCTGGAATCTTGTCCTCTGCACCTAGTTCCGTTGTTATGTCAAACGGGTGGGGCACTTTATTGTGTTTATTTCTGAAATGTACCCAGCTATAGACGCCAGTGCATTGAGTGATCCGTGCTGGCCTTCTGGAACCACTTCCTTCTATGTAACCATCTGCGTGGTAGTACATCTAATGATGCCAGAATTCAAAATGCGAGCATTACTAAAGACTCTTAAAACAACAATTCGATCTCTTATCTCTTCACCTGTTGAAAGCCTGTCATTCATATGTCTGAGATACAAATGTAGTAATCATATATCGTCCTCACGTAATATATTTTCCAACTTTGCCATAAATATAACTTTCAACTAGCACAGAACTAGGTTACCTGACATGGCGGTAAATGAAATATTCCGGTACATTGAAAATCCACCCATCTATGCGCCGAACAATGTGATTCAACACAAACTATTGTTCCTTGGGTCTGAGACGAAAATATTTCGATGCAAGATAATTGTCCGGCATTTTTGCATCTAATTTTACCGTCGATTATTTGGTCAAAAATGGCACTCGGAGGAAACTAACCACGGTAGTTCACTTCAGTTAATCTGTCAGCTGGCGAAGAACTGTAGCATGTAAACACGTTTTACTCTGATACATCTAGATCGGTTGAAAACTGGTCGAAGGCGTTTTCCAAAGACTTGCTACATATGGCAATCGTTCGATAGCACGTGTGATTGGAGGGCTAATAGAGCCGTATCCGGCAGATGTGCGAGCTGATCAGTGCTAATTATCCGGTTTTCAAATACCAGTCAGGAGGCTGCCAGTTGGCAAGGGACCGCTGATGAGTCAGCATAGTAAAGAGGAAGCAAGCGCACGGCGCTTACAGATTTTTCGACAATACTGAACTACAATCACGGGGCGAAACCCTAATTGGAACTGCTCAAACACTGGCACACTACGGGCTTCACAGAGAAGGGTACTAAGTTACCACTGAAAATGAACCGTAAACTTCGTGCATTTATCTGTAAGTTTGATGCTCAATATGTTCGGTGACATACCATGTATCAGTGACTTTTCCCCAGTGAACCAATCAATTATATTAAAGCATCTTATTAGGCGTTTACATACTTCCAATTTCTGGATGAAATCTTTCGCAATAAAACTGTTGATCAAAAATAAGAAAAAAACGCTAAAGTTCTTTTTCAGAAGAGTCATTTATTTCGTTCGTTGGAAAACTAACGGCAGACACGGCGTTTGAAATAAAAATGTGCTAGGGGTGCAAGTTTTTAGGGGGGAGAAAAGAGAAATCCAATTCACTCAGGAAACACGTTGGTGGAAATTTGGGTAATGAAAGCAGTTGTTTGGTGCTGAAATTAACGGGGCATTTTGTTAGCACGAGAGTGGTTCGGTCATGGTTTTGAGTGTAGTTGCGGAAGTTGTTTTGTCAAGGTGATACTTCTCAAAAAGCAGACAAAATTCTCCATGATGCGTTTTTTTTGCAGCAAGATGATGGCACCTTATAAAGCTTGGTTCATCTACTGGTCTCCGTAGGAATTCAAATTGTTTATTCAGAAAATCGAGTGTTCAAATTATAGTGGTTTTTGGAAAATTTTGGGGTGATCTGCATTAACTGAACAGTTAATAAGAAAGGTCCGCAAATAAAGAAAAAGTGGCGAAAATTTTGCGCGAAAATCTAGCAACTAACCAAGACGAACAAAAACAAATCACATCTTTGCTCTTTCGTCTTGGCCTCCGTAGAAATAGCAAAGATAACATGCTAGTTGATACTGAATGTTTAGAACTCCGAAACACCATATTGGTCTTGGGGCTCCGGCGCTTTTTGTCGCACTGAGGGTGACTTGGGTGATGAAATATACCTCCCATGCCTTTTAGCTTGTTCTGTTGGTACCCAGTTTGGAGCTTGAAGTGGTCGCCAAATCTGCTGTGACTCAGTTCGGCGATAAACTGGGGAAGATGGCCTTGAGTAGATGGCCACAGGTTGCACAGAAAGCCCTCGACGATACCGGTCCGGCTGTACCTGACAAGGAATAAACATGTAGTTTGTATGGTGTTTGAATGTTGAGCATTTGATATTCCGTTTATACATTTCTGGACCGTGTGGAACGATATTTTATGAGTGCTCGGTGAGCTTAGCAAGGTCTTCCGAAATCTTCCGCCATCATTAATAGAGATTCCTCTTAGTTTAGGCCTATTTGTTGACGCATCGCCAATGTACAACGTTCAGCCACGCAAATAGGCACTGAAGATATCAGTCAAGTTCTGTCTGAAGTACTCAGTAAATTTGCGAAACTGGACGGATGAAGTAACTGGCAGACGCATTGCGCGAGCCACCAACTTTATCTTCTGTGTCAAAAATCAGTATGGATAGTTTTGTTTAGGAAAGTGAAAATCTCCTTGTTTTGTTCTTCGACATGATCACACGGGGATTTAATGGCCTCGAGGACTATAAATGTCAGCGGTAAATTGCATTTTCATACGTAAGAAAGGCTCCAGATGCAAGCTTTTATTGTGTTTTGAATCAGATAACCTGGCCCCAGCGCTAGCAAGAATATACTGAGCACTAGAAGTTATGCGTGAGGAGTGATTTATGGGTGTAACATATCATTTGTTCCACAACACAAGGCCAAAATATCCTTTCATGAGGACGAGATTGTGATCCACATGCTCCCCTATCTAGAGCTAGAATAGTTCACACAGTTCATCCTACTACCATTTATTACTCGCTATGGCGTGTCTTTTCCTGCCTTTGTCACGGTCTTTCCTGCATTGTGGATGGTTTATGACTGAGGAGACAGGGCACATAAAAGTATACGTGACCATCTTATCAGCGAGCGTTAAGGAATAAAGGTAAGTATAACGAATAAGCAGTAGATATGAGATTCGCCTCCGAGATTCTAAGACACCCTAGTGATGGGGGCGCCAAAATCATTTGGATAAACACAACTTTAACAAATTGAAAATAACCAGGGGTTTGAGTGGCTTAATAATGACGTAATTCTCATACAACGTACGGTCTTTAAAAAGTTCCCCAATAATATGGTGCATGATGTGATAAAATACGACTTGATACAATTGTAGTCTGATATAAATTTACTGTAATATGGTGTTCGGATTTCAGTAAGAAGCGATGGGGCTTTTAAATCACCAAAAATTCACCACCCCTACAGAACCTTTAGCCACGTAGCGAAAAATGGCTGAACTACATAACCAATTGTCCCTATCAATGGCTTTATCCACATTATTCCGCAGAGAGTTTGAACTAAAAAAACACGATTTCTTAGCTGCAGCTGATGCCGTGAAGCCTGTCTCATTGTCAAAGTCCTCATCAGAAAATACAATTTTTAGATTAAAAAAAAACACATTTTATTGGCACATTCAAATAGTTCACCATGATGATGTCATGAGTACGTAAGTGATTATCACGGGCTTATTTTGTCAGTTAGGTCGTCGTTATTTCTACACTAATTCAGCTTAGTGTGATAAAACTTGTTTCTTTGCTTGTTGAGGCATTCATCATAACATGTGTGCAGTGTACTGCCCAAGGATCAACTCGATCATTCCACTCTTAGCAGATATTTTAAGACTTTCGACAATAAGGATGCTCAAATACGTACAAATAGAGTTATTTGACCGAATTATGGTACAAAATACGGAGGCATTTTTCTGTTTAACAGGTCATCTAAATAACACAAAGTATGGATGTGCTTACGTGAGTATCTACGTGATAAGATCGTTCGAGGTTTGCTGGATATGCTGGATAAACGGGAGTAGCATTGGACCATGAGTTGTCTACTTTACTTGTCGGACTGTAGTGTACGGTTGATGAGTCACTACAGGAAGGGAACATCAACAAAGACAAAATACCGTATCAGTGACAAATGCAAATTATATAAGTTTACAATCAACGATCTCTTATTGGAATGACCTTAGTATAAAACCAAGTAAAAATAGCACGACTGAACAATCCTAGGTAGATCCACCAATATTTCCCCTCGTTTTTAAAATCTGCTAGGCTTACTTAGTCGTTTGAAGACCCCTTTAGTTATAGTCAGTTAAGTAGAACCATCTAGCTGCACGGATCAAACGGAAAGTGGTTTGTCTGCATTATGAAGTACACAAATCTGGACGCTTATGTGGCCTCCCAATCAGAAACAATTCCTCAACGCCAACAACTTTTCAAAGTTAGAAAGCTGTGCTCTGGCGGAAAAAACAACTTCATATGCCATCGGTTTGGTTTGAGACCCCTCAGTTTGGTTTTTTTCGTGCCTCCGAACTAAAAAAAATCTTATTAGTTTTTAAAGCTTTGGATTAAACAGAGAGCTGCTGACTCTAACACCTGTCTCTCATGATGACGATGACGATGATACTGATGAGCGAATCCAAAGGGAGGTAGTTTGCGACTGATGGTCATTTGCCCCGTTCATAGTCTTCCGACCGCCTTCTTCAAACGCAGTCACAGTGAAAGCGAAATAAATATGCACAGCTCAGATGTTCGTAAAAGTATGCTGCAAAATGGAATATTGTCGGCACTATGGATTTTGCTTACCAGGGATTCTGCACTTAAGATAGCAATACAAGTCCAACTATAGGGTGACATATTGGTCTGCAGGATTTAAGTTTTTTGGCTAACCAGGTGAAGACTCGTCTGAATTTTGTATGTAAAAAATCCTCTATGACAACCTCTCGCTTGGGAGACCACCTCCAGTAATGTGGGAATGTTCCATTTACGACGGTGCCTACATTTCGGAAGAGTTGCAAAGAGTAAAAAATGATGTTTTGCAAACAACTGGAACGGCACATTTGAATGCAAGCCCCCCTCAGTGTCTTCGTTATAATTTTATAAAAGAAAGGTGGACACGTGTAGCAACACCTTACCTATTTTACCGTTCCCCTTCAGTATTACACCTAATGACTAATACTCACCATTTATGAGAGTAATTTTCAACAAACAAACTGACAATGTAACTAAATGCTTCCGTTTCGCCAAACCACTTTAATGGTCTCACTCAGTAACCGGGATACTTTCGTCAATGCCATGTGACAATGGCTTTAACAGACAGATTTTATCCAGCACAGCAGTGCGACCTAGCGCGGTACAACCCGTGCACCTTCACACCGATGACAAGAGCTGGTTATCCAGATGATAAACTGAGCAGTAGCTAAGCGGATTTCACAAGGTAACAAAAGACGACGGAACAACCACTAGTCACCCCATCAGGCATCTTCCATATCACATCAAGTTACGGCTGTATATCACACGTCATTGTTCTGACTGGTGCACTCTGTCTGGCTAGTAAATATCTTAAGGTCACTGTGCAGCTAGCGACAATATGGTACGACCAATGACTGAGACTAAAGTTGCAACGACTTGAATTTTCGCTCAACTTGGGCGGTTTAAATAATCGGTTCGTTACGTTGCAGTAATGCCAGCGTTTGCTGCCTTCAAAATCAGTCGCACTAATAGTCAAGCATCTACCATGTTCTGTGGGCTTCTCTTTGATACTGTCGGGTGTCTGCGCTACCTGCCTTTAAAATCAGCCAGAGTCGAGCTGTACCTTGCGGCACAAACGAACCTTGATCCACGCGCGAATAACACAGAAAGCGTTGACTTTACAGTTTTTTCTATCGTTTTAAATGCTGAATGCAGGTGACAGAACATCATTTTGTGTGTAATGAAATAAAATGATCATCTCAAGTATACTGGCTTATTTTCGAAAAAAACTGGATTGAAGATTGATTGGTAAGGATAAATTCACCTGCGCTGGGTGTACTTGCTCACCTGCTGAAAACGTTCACACGCAACGGCTGTACCATGCGACCCGGCACAATAATCGGGTGGCCTTGTTGTGTATCTGAAGAATTAAAACCGTAAACCTGACGTCCCATGGTGGAAGGATATCGCCTTCCCGGGTAAACTCTGGTTGTTCCGTTGGATACGACCTTTCCTTGTGGACTCATGGTGTATGGATCGTGAACACGGATGGTTGTGGAATATTGCGGCTGACGGGTCGGTGATACTGTGACTTGTGGAGGTCTTACTGTGTAAAATCTCCCTGGAGAGGATTGTTGTCTCTTTGATGGTATAAAGAAAAAGGAGTAAATATAAACTACACGTACTTAAAAGCATGCATGTAAATAAAAACGACCAATTCTTGATTCTCATTGCAGGGAAGAAAATAAGACCGTACCTCCGGTGAACTGGGTGAGAAAGGCCCGGTGGCATATTGTGAGTGTTGTCTTATACAAACTTCCGAGGGACGCTGGACCGGTGTAGTCGCACGCGGTGTAGTTCCACGGTGTGTCTGAAGAATGATAGTCCCCGTAGTGCTTGACTTCTTGGTGGTACCAAAACTTGGTGCTGAACGGGTTCCGCTCACCCAGCTTGGCGTGATATTTGATTCCCATCTAAATCCATCGACATCTGCGCCATATTCGGATTGCGTTTCATAGCGAGATGGTGGTGGATGTGACGGCATTCTCATTCTTGGCACTATAAAATGAAAAAAAATTTTAGATAGAAGGCCTGAATGGGATTTTTATAATATCACAAATTTCTCCATTGCGTGGGGCTGTCAATCAATCTCAATCATCTTCCAGATTAATTAATATTGCTCCTGAAAGATTAATTGATCAATATCAGACCAACTTCTCGGTTGTTTTCATCAATGGGATGATGAGCTGATGTATGAAAATGGCTAAAAATACATCCCATATGCTCACATAGTAGCACTATTACAATATATCTGCCTTTCCTAAGACGATTCCCTTAGATGTCATCATGTAGTTGAGCACAGCACTCACGGAGATGGTCTGAGTGGTCTCAAAAAACTAGTTTTAGAGTCAGCAGCCGGAGTTGGTTATCTTGAAGCTCAATTTAAGATGGAGAGTAATGTGTATGAATTTTAATCCATGGGTAATTAGTTGATTCTTGCTTTTTCTCGCCCAATCGGATATGAAAAACTTAAGGAGAGGAAGAAAGGAGCAAATAGCGAGCAACGGGCCACCGAAAACAACACTGGATATACTGTGATAGCTCTGTCAAGGTATTAAAGTGTACAACAATGTGCTAATTCTTTGGGATGAACAAATAACTGGTCTTTTAAAGCCACTATTGAGCCCTTTTGGATTATGCCAAACAGCACCATAAACACTTACATGGACAAAAGCAGAAAAAAAGGTTTGTGTGTATAAACTTGTACGGTTGTGATACGAAGTTGATTTCAAGAATATGTACACCTCAGTTCTGGGAAAGTGTTCCATTTTTGGGCTGTTCCAAGAACGTCACTTAAAAGATCATTTCTTACACAAAGTGCAGCTAAGCGTACAAATTTAACAGAAAGGTTCGGACGTTTTGCGCATTGCGGCCGCTTCTATATATATATATATATATATATATA